GCCCTGAGAGGCAAATGTTCTCGATGGAAGAGGACACTCAGAACAATGTGTGTGGCAAGGGTCATGGAGTCCAAGGGGCCTCCTAGGGAACTCAGAACACACACCCAGGGGTTCTGTCAATCAACCTGAGAGTTCTGTAAGAGGAACTTCACCCACATGGAAAGTAGATATCTTTGTTATTGGCTCTCAAAAAATAAAATGTAGAGTAGAAACTGACCACCTGGGGATAATACCCGTGTTCTCAAAATAGTTGGTTTTCTACCTAAAAAGACTTAGGATGATAACCACACCTTTACCACTGGCATTATCCAAGTACTTATTTTCTTAACTCTACTTCTAGGTTTTTTTTTTAACAATTCAGTTCTATAAAGTATTATTCATTTCTTCATGTGATTTAATGTGTGAGGTGGTGAAAGTCAACAATATCTGAAAGTAGGGTTGGAAGTCATTTCTAACAGAAATTTTTAAAGAAAAAAATATCCTCTCTTTTTTATTGCTGTTTTTACCCTTTTGTAAACAAAAGGTTATCTTTCCCATATAGTGTCATATGAACTAGATTTATATATTTTATTATCTTCTTGATTACTATATTTTACTAGTTATTCCCCAGGAAGCTCATCCATTCATTACCTAGGTATTGCTGGTTGGATTGATGTGCTGAGAAATGAATGGAGGTCCTCTAGAAAAACTGACAGTGCTCTTAACTGCAGAGCCATGTCTTCAGACCCAAGGATGGTATTTTTGTTAGATTAGTCATGCTGTTAATATATTTATTAGCCTCTAATTAAAACTGAATAAATTCACTGTGCTATTAATTGTAATTAATTACATTTCTGAATACTAGATCTTTTCTAGCATTTGGCTCTTCTAAGCAAAACAGAACACAGAAAGGAGTGATAGTCATGAATGGCTTTCAGCTGTCAGTGACATCACAAAGCAAAAGAACTTCATTCATGCAGCCTATTTTTTTTTTACAATTATACACATGTTAACAATCTTGGAAAGCTGCATATCATACTCTGAATGCAGAAGTCACACCCAGAATCACAAAAGGAACTATGGACACAGTGAGCAATATGAGCAGTAATGATTATTGTAAATGACATAGAAAAAAAAAGTTAAACTTGATTCTACATAGAGTAGATAAAGAGAGTATGATACAAGATCTTTTACAGTAGATCTTTCCATACACCTGGATAATCTCTGATTATTCTACTTGCCACATTGAGACTAATTATAGCTGAATGTTAAGAGTATCTCAAAATACATTTTAATATCATATTATGATAAATTGATGAATTTATAAAAATTGAATTTTAAAGGTTTCAGAATTGTAACTATGAATCTTTTTCAATGCTTCCCCTTTCTGTCATTTTAAAATGACACATAGTAATAGTACACTTGTGGGGTACAGTGTGTGGTTTCCGTACTTGCATACATTTCAAGATGATTAGATTAGGGTGAGTGGCATGTTTACCACATAAGACATAAATCATTTCTGTGTTACACACATGAAAAATCCTCTCTACTACCTATTTTGAACTATTCAATCAAAGTTGCAAATCAGTTACCCTGTGAGCTATAAAGCATTAGAAATCATTACTCCTGCCCATATGTAACCACTCATTTTCAATTCCCTCTGAATTCCCAGTATAGTCAAAACTATTCTTTTCTAAACTTTTTTGAAATCAACTGTCAAATCTTCATGTATTAGCAAGAACCCATGACAACTGTCATTCTGTGCTTTTATAGGTGTCATATAATGTTTCCCTAAATAAATTGGAAAGAGAAGTAAAACAGATTTGTTGTTGTGTTTCATTAAAATTTACTATGAAGAATCTACTGAGTATAATTTTCTCTGATAATGCTTGCTTTCTAATAGTGACAAAAATAGGGAAAATATGTTGTTCTATTTACTTTCTGAATGGTATCATGAGAGATAATGAACAATGAGTGTAGACAAATTTGAAGTTAGAAAGTGATTAGAATTTGAACAAAAGAAAAGTAATGTGAAGATCAATTTTGGGCAGGGATGGGAAGACTGTAGTATTTAAAGGATGGTCAAAGAATCATCAAGTGTTTTAGCCAAGTCATACCACAGAGAAACATTAGCCTGAGCAAGAGCAGCTTGCTAATGTAGACTAAGCTTCCAATACTGAGGACCATTTGTGAGATTCAAACCAGGGAGGGAACACATGCCAGGCAGGTTCAGCATTATATACATACACATATAACTTCATACACAATATTTTGCCATCACATTTTATCTTCTTTAGCAAGTAAGGAGACCAAAGCACAGGGTTGTTAAGTGTCACCTATCATAAATAACTGGGGTCACAGGGGTGACAGGTCTCCCAGTGTCTCTCTGAAGACTTATTCAGCCTTGGTGCATGTCTGTAAGGGATCACCTTGTTTGGGTTAATTTATGTAGAAAGTTCCATCTTAACTGTGGTGGGACAAATCCCTGGCTCCATAGCTACACAATTTCTATTATAACTGCACAGTTCACCAAGATGTATAGACTTGAGGCTGGTTAATTTTGGTGTGTGATTTTTTTGATCCAATTACTTTACAATAAACTTTTAATAAAATCTAATTAAATCCAACTTAGTACAATAAAATGAAAAGTTTATCCAGTCTTAAATGAAAAGTACAGAAAGAATACTTTTATTAAACCCCTGCAAATAAGAATAATTTACATCTTCCCCAAAGGGTATGAGTGGAGCCAATTTATATTTAAATATAACATATAATGCAAAACATCCATGCATATCCACCAAGAAGCAGAAGAAAAGAGACATGTATCCCAAAAAGGAAATAATATCAAGGAATTCTGGACAACACATTCTGCATCACAGACACAAGAACAGAGTGAGGGAAAAGTTGACAAATGACATCTTGTCAAAGAGTTGGTCTGCTTTGTCCAGAGTCACTTGATTTAGATTACTCTTCCACTACTATTCTTGCCTCTTGTTCACTCAAATGGTTAAAAAAAAAATGGTCTCTAGGAAGGATCTTTGTTGTTGGTAGTAAGAACCGACATCTTGCCAACTGTATAAAAATAAACTAGTAATAAATAAATGAGATTTCTTCTCCTGTCTCCTTTATTCTGAAAAAATCCAGGAACTTATATTATCATGTTTCATTTGATTTTGTTTTGTTTGTCTTCCCCCTCACTCCAGTGAAATTAAAAAATTTGGCTAGACATCACAGAAAGCCAACATGTCCTTAATAAACAAAATGTTATTCAAACAACTTAAATCAGGATAATGAAAACCATCCTCATCATTATACGAATGAGGAAATAATATTTTGGTAAAATTAAGCTTTTTTATCACTCACAAACAACTTCTAATCAAAGTACCTTACAAAGAAATGAGAGTTAATATACACAGGACAGTGCATCCACAGCAAAGCTGGCTGGAATTTCTGGAGTCAAATAAGTGACACTAATTAGGGACTAGTTTTTGAAAATAGTTTTGATATTTTAAATTTTTTTCTCTCAACCAGGCATTGGTGGTGCACGCCTTTAATCCCAGCACTTGGGGGGCAGAGGCAGGCAGATCTCTGTGAGTTCGAGGCCAGCCTAGTCTCCAGAGCGAGTGCCAGGATAGGTTCCAAAGCTACACAGAGAAACCCTGTCTCAAAAAACAAAACAAAACAAAAAAAATTCTCTCAAATACTGGGCTGTGAACATGAAATTAGTTTCATGAAATTAGAACATGAAATAGTTTCAGTACTATTCAATTTCAAAGATAGAAAAAATAATATTTATGTGTTTCACATATTTCTGTATTTTTAACAAAGATGAGTTATATTTTTACATTTTCTCAAATATCAATTGAGAAACAATACTATTTCTTATATATTATTATTTAAAAAATATTCTTCCTATTTTTGCACCAGAACACATTAACCCACATATCTTTCTTCAGGAACAAAACTACTGGTTGACACGAAAATTGTTAGCTTTTGGCCATTTTCCGATGTTTCAAACAAGGTGACCTAGAGTTCTATGAGACACTGACCAGCATGCTGAATGCATATTATTTGGGGGATGTGATTCAATACCATGATCAGTTAACTTTAAGTGAAGAATAACACCCTTCATGATCTTTTTATTCTCCCTAAATCTTAAGCTTTATTTATTTTTATGTGTATATATTATGCGCACCACATGCATTCAGGTGCCTGCAGAGGCCAAAGGCCATTAGATTCCTGGAAATGTAGTTATAGGTGTTATGAGCTACCTGATGTGGGTGCTGGGAGCTGAACCTGGTCCAGTTACAAACAGGCTCTTAACAACTGAACTGTCTCTCCCGTCCTATCTATCCTAAACAATGTGAATTCAGTCAGCTGAACAGTTCTACAACTTTGAAGGAAGTTTTCTAGACAAGGGGTGTTTCCTGTCCCTCCTGTGGGGCTGCCTTTCAGATTTCACTTGCCTATAGTCAGCTCTCCCAATCACATAAGCTGTCCCTGCAAGGACCATAACTCAGGCTACACAAACACATACATGTACACACACACACACACAGATATATACACGATACATAATCTTAAAATCAGCATGTTCTCAAATACTCAAAAGTACTACAAATAATAATCCTTGTCTTTTGAAAGATTTAATCAATATGCACTATGAATAAAACATAACTATACCTCAGGATACCAGGATTCAAAAGACACGCGATAAGTACCCAAGTATTTGGCTGGAGGTAGAAACCACAGCACTTGGCTTCCACCAGGGATGCTTTGCATGGTTAGACATCTAAAAGTCACCGTTAGAAAATAAGCAACAATGTGCATCCTAAAAATATGATAAGCCTTTCTGGTCAGATCCAAAGAAAAGGGGTTTGAGCCTTTCTTCCACAAGTCACATTATCTGGGTCACATGAATATAAAAGCACATAAAGGTAACTAAAACTCATAATAATTTAGGAAGTCAAACTTCTTCTAAACAAACTCATTTTAAATGCGTCCCCTGCCCGCTTGCTTACCTAGACTGCATATCTTGCTGGGTTTTGACCTGACTGGCTTCCGACTGAGGAGCAGTGTGAGTCACTCGCTGTTGAAGCTCCACCAGGGACTGGTAATACTGCTGTTGATGGTGCTGTTGCTGCTTGTATCGAGATAAACTGAAAAACAGTCCTAGAATGGCTTTTAAGTTTCCATTTCTTATTTCTGTATCAAATGGAAAAAATGTAAAACATGGTCAAATAAATTGAATTGATTTTCCTATATGACTAAAAGTCTAGATGTAATCCTCTTAGACCCAATTTATGAAGATAACAATGCAAGTTGTTCCCCTTACTCACAGTTTCGGTTGATTATGAATCTCTCAACTCTGCCAATATTGCAAAGTGGCTTGTTATATCACAGAAAAGGGGCGGCGGGGGGGGGCAGGAGGAACAAATCCAACTAAACAAAGATGCTCTATGAGTTGTGGTTTCCTTTATTCTTGGAAGAGAACGTGTTCACTGCCTTGGGGTAATGATTTTATTTTGCACACTGCTTTTCTCCCAAAGGCACATAGCAGTTGCCCACATAGACTTGGCTATGGAGAAATGAAACTACTTAAACATCCATGTCTTGCACTTAAAAATACTGTTGTCATGTGTATATATCATAAGATCAATTGGGTTTATAGCAATCAACATTCTTTCCAAAACATCACATGCCAGCCTAAACACATATTTGGATGTATGTATTTAACTTTCAAATATGCACACATGACTTCAGGAGAATGTATCATATCAATTTTTAGTTGAAATGTTATTGTTTTACATTCTACTGTTCTGTTTACTTCATGCTATATGTTACTGAATAACAATTAACTTACATAACTCTAAGGGATTTATTGAATACACATCTTCTCAAACAGATAGGGTTCCTTTATGAGATTTTCAAGTGTGGCATAATAAAATCAAATACCCAAATTCAGCTAAACACAAAGTTACTTTTTAATATATATATATATATATAAACTTGAAATTTCATACAAATACACAAAGTATGTTGAGCATAACACACTCACTCTCCTCTTCCAATGGTTCTCACACAACACCTCCACCATGTCCCCATGTTTCATTCCCTTTCTCTTCTCAAGTTATAACCTAATTACCAGGAAAAGTGATGTAAGTAAAGCCTGATAATACTCCATGTATGGTCATATTTTAAATAAAACTTGCTGTTGGTTACTAAATATTTTCCCCTGAGGTGTCATGTTCCCTTCTGGAGTTCAGTCACTAACAAGCTCTGAGGATTTTTTCTCACTGATGACTTATAAGCTAACCCTAACTATGCAGTATAGTTGAATCCCACAAGGTACACATATGATTGCTCCTTTTTTTCTACCTCAGACACTCCTTATAATTTCCATGATCTAGGAGAGTGATTTTTATCATTGAGGCTACAGTAAGAAAATAATGATTTCACTTCTTGTAAACTTAAGTGATCTTGTTCACAAGGTTTTTCCATTTGCATATATATATACATATGCATATGTATATATATGCCTAATTTAGAAAGTATTTTTAACAGTTCATATACTTTTAAAAAATGAACCAAAATCAGTAGTTTTATATTAATAAAATTACTATGCAATATGCAAGAGATATAAAATGAACCATGGAAACAATTCTTGCTTGCTTTTGGCCACTTACTTAGCAAAACCTGGTCACAGTGGAATTTTATTCAAATTCTAAGTACTAGAACCAGTAGTCAGATTTTAATATTAGCCTGCTAGCCACTGAATAGGTAATTGAATTTTATATCATAGTGTAAGTTTCATGTTAATAAAAGCTTAGTGGAAAATCAAAATATGCAGATAGCTGAGAAAGTAAAGTAATTCTATTAACATCTTTTATATTGCAGAAACACATTTTTTTAAAAAAAAATTCTAGTGATGCCAAGATTTAAAAACTTAAAACTGTTCAATATTTGCAATTTTAGTGGCAGAAAATGTTTTCAAAGCAAATTAATTTCAGGAAAAGTTAAAATGTTAAACTATTTTCTAGTATCTGTCAGAAGATTAAAGATGTTATTAGCTTCCAAATTATTGTCACTAGTGCAGATCTGAAAGGGTTTACTATTTCAGTTTCTTGTAGTTGATTTTTTATTAACTGTTTTGAAAATTTTCTAAATGTTTCCTAATAATACATTAAAATCACTCCTTTCTTAATTGTTTCACTAATAGTCCATTTGGTTATAAACTTTCTTTTCACATGTTAATAAATATGATACATAATATTAAGAGTGAACAGATGAAAGGAAAGAAAGAAATGTGTGGCAATGATGGATGATGGGAAAAGGCACAGGAAACATCACTTTCATTTTAGAAAGGTCATTTCATTTTAATTATGGCAAAGGTTATGCTAGATTTGGTGGAATATTGAAAATGTCACCTTTATGTGCGGAAGAGAGAAAGACTCTGAACACAGAAATAAATGAAAGAACCAGTTCAATTTTTCATGTTGACATGCCAAAATTTAGTATAATTTAATTTTCAATCAAAATAATGTCAACCTATAATGAACTCAAAATATTCACGAATAGTACTTACTAATATTGGTAGTCTAAGTGTGTAAGAACTCATTGTCACTTACATAAATTTACACATATTTGACTGTCATTATTACCTTGGACATCATGGAGGCATTACTGGCAAAATATTTTACATGAATTATAGTATTTATTTGCATTTATAGCCATGTATTAACCAGGACTGATATAATCACCTATCCATATATTTAAGAAGTTAAAAATCTCTGTATTAGTAATAATATGGAAGTGCTATGTTGATTCATCTTCATCCTATATATTGACATAAAGAGCAATACTAGAAAATGCAAAACTATTTAAATAATTAAAGCATACAGTAACACTACTAGCTATCATGTGTGCTTTATGTAACTATGAATTTTTTTCATTAACTAAGGAGATTGGCATGGCAATGCTATATCTGTAACATTATGTAAAATTCTCTCAGAACCAATTGATGCTATTTGTGACAGCAGTGCAGTTTCTTACCTTCAGCCGATAGGCCTTGGACATTCACTCCTCGGGCTGCTAGAAAACTAAGGCAGACCTCAACATTTTCAATCTGCAACATGAAAAGCAGTGAAAAGGCCACTTAGAGAATAACTCTTCAGTAAGTTCATGAGCGAGAATGAAACAAGAAAAAAAAATTAATACTTTACATTCATTTCATTCTAGAGAGAGTTACCAGAGTTTTACTAGAGTTATCTTGCCTGAATACAGAGTGACCATAAAGCTTCCATTGTCCCCTTTGGTACTTGGAAACAATTGATAAAAGCACAATCGAGAATGGCATTCTTGAATCATAGCAATCCACCTACGTATCTTAAAACTAGATTTGCATTTTATGAATAAGTCTCAATGAAAACATCCATATGAAATGAGATTGCAGCGTGGCAATTACTAGAATATTAGGATGTGGGATATTCGGTTAGCAATATTTGTTAAGTTTCCAGAAGGTGGATGAAAAGGAGTGCTATTATATGAAATAAATGAGACCTCTTTTAAACTCTAAACCACAGAAATCATTTTTTTGAAAAAAAAAAAGTTTGCATTTTGACAGTTGAGGAAGCCCATGATTAAATAAATGCAAGTAAGAGCCTTCCTATTTTAAAAGGGCAATGTGCATAACTTTTAAGTAGTCATTTTATTATGACAGTCAGCTTGTAACCATTTAAAATGGGGGAGGGGCACTGAATCTACCAGGCAAGAGATTGCTCTCAATGCTGGTCATGGAATTATACAGGTAAGTCACCTAGATGACTTTTTTAAAATATTCTAAAAGTGGTACATGATAAATTAAATATTTAAAGTTAACAACTAGGCAAGGCAATTCATTTCTGTCTTATTTACTTCTCATCAAAAGCCACACTGAAGGACCCATGAAGTCTGGCCACTCAGCATCACAGGAAGACTGCAATGCCTCTGAAAATAACAATATATCCTATAATCCATCTAGCCAAATGGACAGGTTATATTCTTCCTTAAACATAATCTGTGTAAAATGGGCTCTGAATCAAGGCATCCAATGAGCTATTTTCTTGGCCAAGGCATACACATTTGCTTTGGAAAAAATTATTGAAAGTATTATTGAAAGTACTTTGTTGTTAAAATAATAGAGCTGAGAAAAATTGACCAAAATGTAGCCTAATATATTTTGTTCTACCATCAATATCTGAGTCTTCAGGAAGGTTATGATGTTGAAATTTACCTCAGATGTTTTCCCATGCTGCTTTGCTTTAGAAAATGATGAAATAAGAAACAAAGGACTAGGGGAGATAGATCTCTAGGTAAGACAATTTCAGTGCACATATGAAGACTAAGTCTAAGTCTTCAGGGATCCAGTAAGAAGTTGGATGTGGTCATGACAGCTAGAAACACAGTGAAGAGTTAAGGCAAAGCTGGAAACAGGAGGATCACTGAGACTTGCCATCTATTGGCCTAGATCCAACTCCAGAGAGACTATCTCACTATAAGGAGGTGATTGAGAGAATAGGACACCAGGTATCCTCCTCCCTTTAGTTTAACTAAAGACATCAAGACACCCATGCTGAGATTTCATAAGCATGCACTCTCATTTACTTGGGGGTTGTTAGCATGGTATTTGTGTGTGTTTTGCTTTTGGTGGAGGGGGGGGATTTGAGACAGGGTGTCTCTGTGCCTTTGGAGGCTGTCCTGGAACTAGCTCTTGTAGACCAGGCCTGTCTCGAACTCATAGAGATCTGCCTCTGCCTCCCGAGTGCTGGGATTAAAGGTATGTGCTATTTAAAAAATGATTTATTTTTCATTGCAGGTATGAGGGTATTTATTAGTGTGAGGGCAATGTGTATGCAAGTACAGTACCCACAGAATCCAGAGGCATCAGACACCCCTGAAGCTAAAGTTGCAGGCAGTTGTTAGCCACCTAACAGGGATGCTTGGAAACAGGGATGCTTGGAATTGAACTCTGGTCTTCTGTAAGAGGACGACTATAGGATTCTAATCATTGAGCCATCTCAATAGTACCTAGCATAGCATTTTGAATGCAATGGGGTATTCAATACATGCTTGAATAATAAAGGAGAATGTAAGGCAATAGATCAAATTGTATTTATGAATGAAATGGATAAAATGAAAAAAATAAGAGTGAATCAGTGGTCTTTTAATCCAAAGTCTACGTGTTATAAATATACTTATTCTCTGTACCAGACTCCAGGAAATAATGAATCATCAAGTTAATTGGTTGGGGCTCCCTATCAGTAGGTATTTAGATTGTAACTCTTAAACTAAATCTAACCTATTTTTGGCAGACAAAGAAGTAGACATCCAGAGCTATCACAGAGATAAGCAAATGAAACAAAAAAGCAAGAGTATATTATGTGATGCAATTATGTGAAGCATATTATGTGAAGCAAATGAAACAAAAAAGCAAGAGTATATTATGTGATGCTCAAACAGCAAAGGAAAACAATAAAAGCAGAAACTAAAATGGCTGTGAGCATTAGACTGAGATAGCCTAAAGATACTGGGATGATGGAAGTGTATTCTGACATAAATAACAGATGCACACACACACATGGACACACATGTGTGTATGTAAATCAATTGGCTATGTATACAATGCTACAGTATTTTATGTATCATTGAAGCATGTTCTAAGAGAAATATGAATTTCTCTTAGAACACTTTAAACATTTTTCTACAATGTTTATCTCAATTTGAAAATAAGGACAAATTATTAGTCTCTGTAGTAAGAGTATTACAAATAAATTCATTCTGAGTTCCATGACTGCCATATTCCTCATCTGAAACAATTATCAGTCCCAGTTTTAGCTGATAATCACTCCACAGACTTGAACATTCCTATTATTGTGTTAGCAATTTTAAGTCCTTTTTCATTAAGTAACTTACCTTTTACTGGTACAAAATGTCTAGTTTCCCTCTTTCATGTGTTATTTTCATCATTGTTAAGCAATTTGGAAAATACTGACAGTATAAGAAAAATAAAACACCAAGTTCCTAAGTTCTATGTTCAATAAATATATTAAAAAGTATCAAAACATACAGGTAAACTGAGCACTGAAGCTTTTGGATCCTCTCCAAATATTTAACGGTATTACAAATACCTAAACTAAGACCTTCCAGGAGGAAGTTATTAAAAATATACTCTCATTTGTGTGTGTGTGCGTGCGTGCGTGCGTGTGTGTGTACAGATGCAGAGGCTAGGAGAGGGAATCAATCCTCTGGAACTGTATTTGCAGGTGGTTGTGAGGCACCCAACATGGGTGTTAGAAACTGAACTCAGATCCTGCATAAGGACAGCAGCAAGCTCAGGGCTGGAGAGATGGCTCAGAGGTTAAGAGCTCTGACTGCTCTTCCAGAGGTCCTGAGTTCAATTCCCAGCAACCACATGGTGGCTTACAACCATCTATAGTGGGACCTGGGGTTCTCCTTTGGCATAAAGTTAATAGAGCATTCATACACATAAAATAAATAGATCTTTTTTTCAAAAGTAAGGCCTATTAACCACTGATAGTTTCTATCTGTATAATATTCCAGCATATTAGAGCACTACTACTTAGGTTCATATTATACAAAACTCGGTCATTCATTCAGTAAGTACTTATTACTGTACTTAAGAGACTTGTCCTGAAATACTTTAAAGAACACTGACTAATTTCCAATAATTTCATATGTTTTCTTAAAAAGGAGAGCCCAGTTTGTAAAACACTAATAACTGATGGGTTCATAGTTACACATTTATGTTGCTGCTTAAGAACTTGTTAAACATGGACACGTGTAACTGGTAAATTAAAAACTGTGTTTCAAAGGAGGAAAGGGAGGGATCAAACTATTTCTTTTCATTTATAGGAAACTGAAAACAGTCAAAAATATATTTATAGCTTTAATTAAGGGTTAATATAGTCAATGTATTCTAGATATAGACACATTTATATTGCAAACATTTGCAGTTATTGATTGCAGTGTTGAATAATCAACTCCAAACAAAAACATCTTTACACTAAACTCACACACCTGGCTACATGATTATTGACCTACTGTGTTACAGAAAAACTGGTCTAACCTGTTTTAAGAAATGTGCCTGGTTGTTGAGTCTTTCACAACATTAACAGAGTTAGAGCTTGTGTCCTCATAGGTTTCTTTCATACTTAAGAATATTTAGTGAAAGCTACCTTTGGACATTAAATGACTGAAGATGATTAATATTAGCCTTAGAATGCATGTTTAAATCTTAGCCATGGTACAAGAATTAACACCATGTGACTAATTCATCTACAACTATTCACTATTTTTTTATGAGCAAAGGACTCTGTGGAATGGTGAAGGGATATAAAAATGAATTACAAGGTCTTTGGTTTTGTGAGCCTATAAAATAGCTGCTGAGACAGTAAAGATTCATACATCACTATAACACAAGACACTGCATGATAAATTCCAAAAGAGATATATAAACAACACTGTATGCTGCTGGAGAGAATGGAGTCATCAATTTCCACTACAGATTTGCACACGGCTGCACAGAACGTCATTTAGAGTCGAGAGATAATTTGGATTTTGATAAGGCTAGACAAGCAGCAGAGGATGGGACGGGGCCTGCCAACCATAGCTACCACATGGAAATCTGTTTGGGGGCAGTCAAAGAGAGCTTAAGGATACCTCATTACAAGCAGTGTCACACCCACAGGTGATCATCACCTGGCAAACTGAAAGGGTCCACTCTGCCCTTTGACTCAAAAGCCACTGCGACAGGAAGAGACAAAGAACCACCATCCATGCTGCAGGGATCAAATAGCTTAAGTCATTTATCCCTAAGATGCATATCCCAGTCAGTATAATATGTGTGAAGTAGATGCCTATTGTTGTGAAGAACTCAAGCAATTCTTTCCTTAGCCCTCTATGGAGGGGCAGTCTTGTGTGATGTGCTAGGATTTATTATTATTATTATTATTATTATTATTATTATTATTATTATTAACTTGACTATGACACAGGATAATGCTATGTACCCCAGAATGGCCTTGAACTATTTTTTTTAAATTCAATTCAAAATATTTTACTTTCCTT